TACATACAGAACGGTTCTTTTGTGGGATTATAAAATGAACCCCTGAACCTCGAGATAAAAAACGCATCCAAGTCTGTCCCAAGTCAACAAGAGTGCGACCCGGTCAAGCCATAATGTTGAAAGATAGCCTATTACAAGGGATGCTTTGGTCATATCTTAAAAACCGGGCAAACCTGTTGGGATAATATGGCTCTAAAGCAATTTCGTTACTCAGCCATACCGGAAGTATACGAGAATATATACACATCAAAAACTCAAGTTCTTTTGGTTTTACTCATGAGTATCTACATACTTTGTATCTCATTCCAACCCACTATTGAAAGAGCAAAAAAGGGAATTTTCCACACATTGAAAAAACATTCTTGCAGCCCAAGCATTAAAGATCCGACAACCCATGCTACTATAGCGACACATGTGTGGATAAGAACGGGGATACTCGCTACTAGGACGCCTCCTAGTGAGATTTGGAAAAGATTCTCCTAACCATGCAATCACATAATGCATGGGAAAATGAACTTTAGCATTGCTTGGGCCAGCTGGGCACGTCATCATTAATCTCAAAGCATAACAAATGCATCCCAATGCTACAAGAGCAATGGAAACTTTAGAACCAGAAGCCATATAAAATGTCAATGGTCTAACAATGCCTCTTCTATGAGGAAACACAAAACGGCTCAGCCATAAGGATATATAGGCTGCTAACATACCATCTCTTGAGACTCATAATGGCAAAAGTTGTTTTTCGAAAGAGTTATATTTTTTACTCCCAATACTCTTCTTTTCAACACCTTTCTTCCCTGTATTCTTCTTGGGTTCACTAACAACTCAATAAACCATGTCACCTCTGTAAATGTGTTCTATCCATAGTGAATAGGAAATAGCCTCTAATCAGTGATGTTCACATAGTTGAGAATAAAGTTGTAAAAGTTCAGCCACAATAGGATATTTTCTCAATTCTTCATTGCTTGGAAAATATTCTTCATAAGGAAGACCTAAGATTGGTAAACCACATATCCTTTTCATATCCCAAAGAGAGATCCCCAACTCTCCAAAGGGAGTATGCATGGTGTTAGTCGCAGGACACCATAATTTGCAAAAAGCACGCCAAATTTCAAGAGAACGATTATAAGTGTATCTAGAAACACCAACGGCTCCATATATTTCCATGTGTTTCAAGACTTCTATATGTTTGTCCAAAATAACTTCAGCCCATTCATGTAACTAAGGCAAAAAAGAGGCACAACCAGAAAATTGAAAGTCCCACCATCTCATACCTTGTGCCAACATACCATGCAAAGTAGGGCCTTTACCCTAATCCCAATTCCTCTAGTTATGGCATTACGACTAGGGTCAACCTTTTCCAATAGCAGCATATCTAAAGAGCCGCTAACCACAGTGGATATTTCTATGGTGCCAAATCTTTCTTTGGTAGTCTTCAAAGTATCAGAGGAAGTATAGGTTCTCTTTAGGAGCTACAAAATTATAAGCAGACATTGGCCCAAGGAAATTAGGCCCAACACTTCATTCCCTTCGTCATTAGGGGCTTTTTCATAAAGAACAAGAACTTATTGAGGTTGATCATTAGCATCTCTCTCGTGATAAACATTTGATTGAAGGGTATCCATCTAAAAAGAAAGGGGGAGATCAAATTAAAACAATTTTCCCAACATTTCTAAGTATAATTTAAGAAAAATTAACTTTTTTGGACTCATCAAAACCCTTAAATCTGAAGTTGATCTCTTTTATTTAAAAGATGAAAAGTATTTTCCTTTATGAGATCAGTAAAATTTCAAATCAATTCCTTTATGAGATCAAAATGATTTTCGAGTAAATATGTAATTTTTCATGAGATCAATCTAATTTCCAAACATCTTGATATGATCTCCTCATGAGATCAAAGCAATCTCTAAATCCTTCCCTCTTTATGAGGTCAAATTTTCAAATATGAAATTGAGAAAATATCAGCCTAAGGCCAAGGTAGTCTTCAATAAGGTCAACTTGACCTATTCTCTTTATGAGATCAAGATAATCTTCAATGAGGTCAATTTAACCTAATCTCCTTATGAGATCAAAAGGAATTCCAAGTAAATGTGTATTTTTTTCAAACTGATTTCTTTATGAGATCAATCTAATCTTCAAACATGTTGCTACGATCTCCTCATGAGATCAAGGCAACCTCTAAATCCTTCCCTATTTATGAGGTCAAAATTTCAAATCAGAAATTGAGAACATATCAACTTAAGACCAAGGAAGTCTTCAATTAGGTCAACTTGACTTAATCTATTTGAGATATCAAAATGATTTTCAAATAAAAGAAAATCTCCTAAAATTGATTTCTGCAGTACTCAAATATTTCGATACAATCTCTCTTATGATATCAGTTTAACATGATTTTAAGACATTTGCATCAAAGGATGGGTAAATTTCATTCAAACTTTAAATCTAAAATTGATCTAAGAAGGATGAAACAGATTCGTATGAGATCAAGTTTTCTTCTTTTGCTTTTATGAGATTGGAGGTGAAACTGATCCCTATAATGAGATAATTATCATAAAAAAAAGGAGGGGATCACATGTGAGAAGTCCTTAATCAAAAGATCACCAGTACTAAAAGAAGCTTTAGTACTAAAACCAGAGTGAACATACCTGAAAAAAAAAACGACAGAGAGATCTTAATTTGCTAAGAAGATAGCAAAGTGTTGGCAAAGCTGCTAATTGTTTTTGACGACCAAAACATAGGTTGTGTTCAAAATAAGATCCACAAATCAGAATTTTCAAAATATATACATAAAGATAAGAAATTTCTTCTTTGTGTTTTCAGCAGATATGCTGATGCGGCACTGCGAACCTTGGCTTTAATAAACAGCAGATAAGCTGTTTCAGCAGACATGCTGATGCAGTAATTACACTGCGAATCTTGGCTTTAATAAACAGCAGATACGCTATTTCAGCAGACATGATGATGCAGTAATTACACTGCAAATCTTGGCTTTAATAAACAGCAGATATGGTGTTTCAGCAGACATGTTGATGCTGTAATTATACTGCAAAATTGGCTTTAAAAAAACAGCAGATATGCTGATGTGGTACTGCAAACTTGGCTTTAAATAAACAGCAGATACGTTGTTTCAGCAGACATGCTGATGCAGTGATTATACTGCAATCAAAAAACAAGATAATAATAATAATAATAATATCAAACCTGGTTTAGGGCTTTCTCCCCTCAAGAGAAGAGAAAAAATCTCTCTTTGTTTGTCCACCACTTTAGAAAACAAAGAAAACTTTCTTTGTTTAATCGCAGATTTTGAAGAGAAGACAAAAAGTCTCTCTTGTTGAAAGATTTCAGCAGCTCCTTGACTTGAATACTGAAGGAGGGGTTTCCCTTTCTCTCTTGAACCATGGAGAGCTTGTGAGAAGCTTGTGTTTGTGTGTGTGTATATATATATATATGTATATATATAGAGAGAGAGAGAGGCTGGAATGCCAGCTCATGTCTTTTATAGCCAAAAGCAGTCTTACAGTCCTAATGTGATTAGGATTGTTCATTAGGGTTAACAACAAAGGCTGGGGCATGCAGACCACTTAATAGTTCTGTAACAACTCATTTATGGGCTTTTTTCAAGCTTGAATAATGAACTTTATAATGACCCACTTACAGCTTTTAGTTGGGCCCAAGTACACAAACTTATTTAGCCCATTTAGTGGCTCCACAACAGGCCATACGTGGGTCTCATAACAACTCATGATACAGCAGCCCATTTAGGTCAATTAAGTTTAAGCCCAAGCCTCCTTAAATAAATTAAAAGGCTGGGACCACTTCTAAAAGGGGGTTAAATGCAAAGAAAGTATAAACCCAAGCCCTCTAAAAAACATTAAGAGGTTGGGACCACATTTGAAAGGAGGTTAAATGCAAAGAAAGTATAAACCCAAGCCCTCTTAAATACATTAAGAGGTTGGGACCACATCTAAAAGGGGGTTAAATAAAAAGAAAATGTAATCCAAACCCTCTTAAACATATAAAAAGAAAATATAAGCCCAAAACCTTAATAAGCTTTCAAATTGTGCCCCTAACAATATTTCCAATTCAAATGGAATCAAATTGACCATTAATACCCTTAAGGGCCCACCTGATGTTTAATTAAAATTATTCATCAAAGAAAAAAAGTAAAAAATAATAAAAAAAGTGAGTAAATCGCATCCACCTTTGGATGCTATACTAAAAGAAAAAAAAAGAAACCTAAACCGGAGGCACAATGGGGTTTTCGTCACTTAAGGTTTCTGGTGTAAAAATCCTATTCAGATTAGGATTCTTCTGTTCCAAGCCAAAAAATAATAACATGATTATTTCAAAAAAAAAAAAAAAATCCTACTCAAGCCAGGATTCCTCCACAAATTCTACTTAAATCAAGACTCTTATTTTATGAGCCTACAAAATAATTATCTTGGTCAAAAACAACTTAGAATCAATATTTAAGGGTGAATCAAAGATAATTTGATAAAATCAAGGAATCCTACTTCAACCAAGACTCTTCCAACTGTGAAAATTCGTGATTAACCCCCAAATACTCACTGAATCCTTGCTGCTGCTGGCAGTGGGCCCGGGGCCTGTTGCTGCCGGCGGCGATGGTACGTCTTCCCGAGGAAGGCGTCCACAACAGAGATTCTGCAAATACTAAAGTGGTTAACTGATTCTGACAGAGGTCCATGGGCTTTAGCTCACTTCTTGGTTGAAGCTAGAGACATCCTCTCTAAATTGAATGCACAGTTGGGCTGGGTCCCTAGGGAGCTAAACTCTGTTGCTGATGGTCTTGCCAAGGCAGGTGTTCACAGGGATTACATGTTTAGTGGTGGTTCTCTCCCTGTATAATTCTTTGAGTTAGTAGTTTTTGTGATCATCTACTCGTGTACCTCTTTCCATTTGAATAAAGTTACCATCTTTTTCAAAAAAGAGAGGATGAGAGAGAGAGAGAGCATGTGTTTCAGTTTGCACAAGGACCATACCTTCTTCTTGTGTTTGGAGCAAAATATCTGAACATGGCACATATAAATATGGCAACACCTACAGAAACATGTTACAAAAAAAAAAGTTAAATCAAATATATTTAGGAGTTGGATGTGAGTAACTATTTGGAAAAAAAAGAAAAAATAAATAAAACTTTTTTATAAGCAACAGAAATTTCATTAATTAATAAGAAGAGGACAAGTACAAATTATGGGCAGCCCCGGCTACTCATTTTGTGATTTCAGTCTAATCAACCCAAGAAATTTGTTCTTTAAGCTTACATCTGAGCCCAGAAACACTGTACCCTATTAACCCCTTGGCTTTGCTAACTGATCAGCCAGACAGTTGGCTATTCTTGGAATCCACTGAACTAACAAACACATATCCCTTGACAATCTTCTACACTTTTTTATTTCACTTCTGAAATATCAGGGGGGTTTCCATTCTGCTTCAACCAACTTATTATTACTTTGGAATCTCCTTCAACTACCAACTTCTTCACCCCCATTTGTACTGTTTTTCACAACCCAAACATTACTGCACTCAATTCCGCAATTGTTCCATTAGGGCCTGAATACAAACCCACTGTTGCAAGGATTAAATTGAGCCCAAAAAGGTCGGACCTTGCTGGGTTTATAGGTGTATTCAAAATTCTCATGGAGAAACAATTTTCTTCTAGGGTCAATCTAGGTTTAGATGATCAAATTTGATGTCCAAGTTGAATTGGGATCGTACTTGATACGGATACCACAAATTTCAGCTCCCAAAGTGGTAGTTCACACCCAAAACTCAGAACTGAAGTCAATTCCATAAACTTTTTCAAGCTGAAGGCTATCTATCTGAGATGCCAAACTGTTATTAACTTGAAAGTCCACACCTCCAGTATCTTCAAATATTTGCATTATTGTCTTCCCCCCTCTCCCCGTGTAAACCTTTTTGTAATTTGTTGTAGGTCCTGACCCCACCAATCCAAGTTTCAACCGAGAAAAGATCTTGGTAATATGAACAATGTGTAAACTCCTTGCTCCGTGGGATTTCTTGGGAGCCTCCTCTTCCATTGTGACCACATCATTCTCTGCCACCATCTTCCTACCTAAGTCCACCACTAACTTTCCAATCACCACTTCCACAAAAGGACTGTGAATGGCATCAGAGCACTCTACCTGAGAGGATTCGCAAATAGTTGCATTGTTAACCTCATTTGCTCCATCATCAACTCCTAAAACTTTTCTAAATTCAGCATTTCCAATCCCTATCGCATCTTCTTTCACCCTCTCCCCAACCTATCCTTTGCTCCATTACGAATCTCCTTAGACCACAAGCCATAAATTCCTCCTCAGAAGAGAAAACAACCCAATCCGATACAATGTCAGTCATCGTCTGGCTCACCGCACCAGAAATCCAACCAGCATCAATCTTGCTATGATCATAGCAAACTAGGACAATCTTCAGAAACAACTCTTCTATCAATTTCATGTTCAACATTCTCTGCCTTTAGCTTCTCGATGCCCTTCTCCTTCTCGCTTTTGTCATATCTAAAGATCACCCACTCCCATTCTTCTTCCTTCCTCTTTTGTTCCTTATCCAAGAAAAAAGATTTGAAGATCCTACATTTTTTTTACCTATGGGCGTTTGCAAATAAATGGCTTCGTCTTATCTACCCTTAAACAATCCAAGCTAATGCACTTCTTTCTTAAAATTAAAAAAACTTGGGCTTCATGATATGGACCCCGCTCGACCCTAAGACCAGCTTCCCGGCACAAAGCGTCTCAATGTTTGAATATGGAGACTCTTCCTCTCCCCTATCTAACCCCAAGTTCTTCTTCTCTTGGCCTTCCATATGTCCCTCAATAATCCCCCCCCCCAATCCACTAAGGCAAGTGGGCAAAGTCGATCCTCCTTAGCTGAACTCGAGTGGACTCCACATCCATTTTTTGGAGTCCTATGTTCTCCATTTCCAACAAGCCCCACATTTGCCAAATCATCCTTACAACCATTAATTTTATCTTTAATGCCAAAACTACCCTCATCTTCAACCTTTGTCCCTCCTCTCTGACTTGCCTGTTCGTCTTCCCTTCCAACACAATAGAAGGCAATGAACACGTGCTACTTACCTCCCTCCACCGAGACAAGTTATTAACCCATCTTAGCAGATACGAACCTTCAACCACTAACCTTAGATCGAAGTTCTCTCCAACAGAGCGCAGGGATAACGACGTGGGCACCAAATGCATCTCTAGAGCCTCAACTAAAATATGAGCAACAGCAAGCTTTCGCCATGAACTTGTTCTTGAATCCACAAACTTGAACCCACACGCATCTCTCATGGTTTTAAAAGTTTGGAAGCACCATGCATGCAGAGGAATTCCATATATGTTTAACCGCACCAAGCTTGAGGGGCCTATGTCTCTAATTACATCGACTAATGGGTACCAACTCCCCATCCTGAGCTCTGGGCAACACATCAGACCCTATTCTTGAATCAAAATATCTCTCGCTTCCTCCACATTGCCAAAGATAAAAAGGAGAAATCCAACACTCAGCTTTCTAACATGATCAGGATCAGAATTAAGCAAAACGACCCACCAAACTTCTCTCCAACAGTTTGAGATGATCGTTGATATCTCCTAGTGAATCCACTTCTTTCTCTTTCTTAATCTTTCAAGAAGCCATTACAGTCTGCAACAGCTATAAGTTTTTCATCAATAGTGATGCCTTCACACCCTACATGACACGTATATGAGGGAATGTGAATGGAGAAATAGGAATCAGTTGCTCCTATTGCAAGTGCTTTTTCACGTAAGTGCTACTTCTTACACCCTCTAGTTCCTCATCTTTTTCTAATTTCTTCTCTTATTCTTAGATCTGAATCCTCTCAATGTCATGCATAGGCTGGATGTTTATTCTTAGATCTGAATTATCCCCCTCTGCCTTTATGAAGCATCCACCAAGAAAGCAACTCTCTATAGAACTTAGGACCCGTTTGGTTTGCAGGAATAAAGGTCTGGAATTGGAATTGGAATGGGCCATTCCAATCCTAACTGTTTAGTTGGGCAGAATCGGAATTCCATTCCCATTCCTGGTGGAATGGCAGTCCCCCATTAGAGGGAATGGCCATTCCCTCCCCCTCCCTTGGGAATGAAATCCCATTCCAGCTTATTCCAATTCCCATTCTGATTTCTGTCTTGAAATCCCTCAGAATCAGAATGGTCTATTCCCATAGTCTGTTTGGTTCAGACAGGAATCAGAATCGGAATTGGAATAAACTAGAATGGGATTTCATTCCCAACGGAGGGGGAGGGAATGGCCATTCCTTCAAATGGAGGAATGCCATTCTAGCAGGAATGGGAATGAGATACCGATTCTGCCCAACCAAACAGTTGGACCATTCCGATTCCAATTCCATACCCCTATTCCCGTGAACCAAAACAAAGAAGTACTTGTTGGATTGTGGAGGCTAAGCACTGCAAATTCCTACTTCAACTTGTCCATCAGACTAGATGGCATTAAATCAATTTCTAGGATAGTAACCTGTATCCTCCCACCACTCAACCTTAATAAATTCTTTCGATTGCTTCCAACCTTTATCTTGTTCATAATTATCTAAAATCTCTACAATATCACCAACAATTTGATCTAATCGCTCGCTATCAGATTTTATAAACCTTCAGCATTTTCCAAGATTGTTCGTCAAATTAAATAACTATTAATTTTAACTATACATCCTTAACTAGTCCCAAGTCCCAACATACATGCCTGCTACTACATTTCGTTTATTATTGATAACTTATAATCGCTTTTAACATCTTTTGAGATATATCAGGCTGACAAGCCTACACAGGTTCAAGTTTGAGAACACTTCGTGCAACCAAATGCTTGTTGGGGCCTCACAACAACCACCCACAGTATAAAATAACAAAGTATTTGAAATAGCAACAACAATAAATCTAATATAAGCAAAAATGATAAAATCCAAGCAAAGACAAATAAAGACAAGCACCATAAAGACACAAAGATTTACGTGGTTTGGCCTTACCGCCTGCGGATCCGCGGGAGAGACAACATATGCTCTTCACTATGAAAGAAAACTAAGAACAATACAAGTACCTCGTGGCTTGCAGCCCAAACCAACCCTTACCCTTGTACATCCGTTCTCCCTTTCCTCTCAACCCGAAGAAAAAAAACAAGAGAAAAACTCACTCTCACACCAAGAGCACTCTGTATTTTTCTCTTACACCTTTTCTCCCAAAAAAAAACCTTAACAATAGGTAACAGCCTTTCTTAACATGTTTTGGGATGTACTCCTTCACTAATTCTGATATAGCCAAGGATATGATCCTTAATACAGCGGAATAGCAAAACAGGATTTGTAGCAACCCCATACAGAATATGGCTCTCTTGAGTTTGAGTACCCAAAAGAACACAATTACCTGTTACTGCGAATATGAATTTCTGAAAAAAAATAATAATTTGATATTGCCAAATAAAAAAAAAAGAATCAAATTTCGCATCATGAAGACCTCATAACTAGTTTGATGTGATGAAGAAATAATAGTAGTGGTGAGCCAATCAATAAGTGGATAAACACAGACAAAATAACATACCCGGTGTACATGCAAGCAAGTCTTTTGACCCGCCGGAGTTGAACCATATATCCTTATTACCGGTACCTCATTCACCTTTTCACCTTCAAATTCCCAAAAGCATAAAGATAAAATAAAGCAGAATATAACGAGAGCTCACCGCGCTCGTGCCTGTGAGTGAGATAAATACTAGTTTCAGCTCTGGTTTATAGTTCATACCTTGAAAACTACTGTAAGAGATATCCAGGTCTGCGATCGGAGGCGCCATGTAGTAGTCGATAGAGACGATTCTAACGCTAAAAATGTTAGTATGAGGCTGAGGCTGCGAATCCCCCATTTTGTTTTCTCGAATGATTAAGATTAAATATGCATTGATAAGTGAAAGAAAACGAGATGCGAAAATAAATGGTATGCTCGGTGTGGTTCGAGGGAAGATAAGTTCCCGTTGAGTTTCCTTTTTCGCTGCGAAGTTCCGTTGAATTTATTTGCCGCCATTAAGCCCCTTTATGTAGACTGCGTTTGTTGGGCGTAATAAACTCGGGATTCAAAATGCCGCAAGGCGTATCCTAAGTTCCTAATACGGTTACGTATTGCGATTTGCCATACGATTGCGATACAGCGAGGTACAATTTACCCCTACCCTACCCTACTCGACGGGGCGGGTTTTTTTTTTTGCCTGAATAACGGATTTTATGATTCTACGATTCGTATAGATACAGATACGGTATGATATTCGGCTAAACTCGACCCATATATTGTTTTGGAGTCATAAATTTTATGTATCAACTGTTAAATTTAATAATATATTAAATTTTATCTAAAAGATAATGGATAGTTCATGTGTTTCCTAAAGTCTTAATCAAAAATAATTGGAAAATTTATTATTTATTTGTATTATTTTACTTATTGGTTGCTTATATATGATAATAAATAGTAGGAAATTAGACATAGCTTTTAAATCCAACCCACCATACCATTGAATTTGGGGAAGGTTTTATGTTTTCATTTGTAGTAGGGTTTGAATTCTCAAAATCCAACATTTTAAAATGGTATGGGTTGAGAGGTTTTGGGAGGTGGGTAGGTTATAGAATTTACAAAACCCTCCCCGAACTTGATCCCTAGATGAATCAAGGAAATTCTCACATGCCTCACAAATAAAGTCTCACATGAATTTTAATAATTGCAATCACCTCCCTTTAACTTTATAATGTAGATACAAGTACACCCCCTCTCTTATAACCCTCTAAAATGAGGTATGAAGAAGTCTCAAATAGAGGGCCTGTTTGGTGCATATTTCCGTGTGGTCTTTTAGTTGTTTACAAACTAGGAAAATCGATTTTCGGTCTATTCTCTTTTGGCTCGCGGAAGATCTAGCCACCAAAAGATGATACGCCAAAAAGATGCGAAAAGCCCATTAGATGAAAAATATCCATACATTAAAACTTGAGAGGGAGAGAGAGGAGATAAGAAATGGACACAAAAAATGTAATAAATGAAAATAAAAGAGATGAATGATTATTGTAATATTTTGAAAATATAATGTCCTCTTAAAAATCATTCCGTATTTTGATTACATTAAAATACCATTTAAAAAATCATAAAAGTTGCATCTAAACAAGTACAAAACAAAAAAAAAAAAAGTGAAATAAAAACTATTTAAGGAAGGTTGTTAGTATAATATTAAAAGTACAATAATGATGAAAAATATAAAGACAAAAATAATAAAAACTATTAAATTAATCCGGTTAAAGAGTATTAAAACTTATAAAATAATTAATTGATGTATGTTCAATTGGGTATAATATTAAAAATATAAATTATTTATGTTACATAAATTTAAAGTAATTAATTGATATTAATTAAATAGGTTATTGTTGTCAGGCAAAATGGGCAGAGGGCAACACTGTCATTTCGCTCCTAAGCCGAGGTGTAGTTGAGCAGTCCGAGGTCCAGAGTGGCCAAGGGCTGGTAGGCCGATCCTGCAAGGAGTAAAGGAAGGAAGATGTTAGAGGCCTCGGGTTCGTACCTGAGGCAAAGACTGATGGTCAAGTTAATACAGGGACAATGCAGGGTGGACGAGACCTAGTATGTTTTTATGAATTATTCCTTAAAGTGGACACTTATGAAACTCATGTTAGTTTAGAATGTTTGGGGATTTTATTTTGACAATGTTGACATTGGTGTGTTGCTAAATTGGTAGACCAGCTTGTCTTAGTTGCTACAGCTATACTCTAAACACAACCAGTGGGTGTTTGAAATAAACATTAAACATTTACCGTTTTTTAGTTATGCTGGAAAGTTGCACTTAACCCCATACTTAATTATGATACTACACTAGGTTTTTGACTAAAATATCTCTAATGTGCCAACCAGTGAAATCCATCAAGAGACAAATATTTTCGCTTGTTGGGGCAGTTTAGGAAATCGCCTGGATAGGTGATCATATTAATAGAATTGACCATGTTTGTCAAACAAAGTGAATATTAAGGTTTCACTCTCTTCGATGGAAACCTAAACTGTCAGTAGTAGAGTTTAAATGTATTTGAAATATAATTTGCAAAATGTATTTGTATGTCATATTACTATTTTATGAAAAATTTGTTTTAAAAGGTTTTAATCCCGATATCCATTAAAGTATAGAGCATACCACATCATTTTATAATCAGGGAATAGTTCATTCCTTCTGACAAATGTTTTGATTATTATACACCAAAAAGTTGTGTATAAGAGACCATTCAATGGTTGATTACTTAATGGGTATCGTCTTACATAAGTCCATTATCGTCGGGTCCTCTTATGGTGGCTAAATCTAATGATCATTTATATGTAAATGCTGGGGCCAATTGAACTCAAGCTGATTGGGTAAGACTTTTACAGCCTAACCTCTTATAGGGGTGAGGTCGAACATTTATGGACTTGCGTAAGATCTTTGTGGGTCATGCATCACACAATGTTTAGGCATACATAGCCTTGCAACGCATAAAAAAGTGAACCATTAAAGAAAATGGACCTAAGGCCTATTACTAATACAAACTAAAAAATTAGGCACATGACAATGTGACATGGGGCCAATATAAGTCATGGATATGGGTATGGAACACTCGTTTTTTAATAAGATAGAGTCTATTTATAAGCACAAGTCATAATCCATCCCAACAAGGGTAGGAGAGTGCTTTGTATAAGGGAAGAGGGGGATGATAAAACCATTATATAATAAGCTCTTTCCACCTCTATCTCACCTCCATTGCTCCCATAAAACCCTATTTTGTTACAACCATAGTAGAGATGTTTTTATTCATATTCCTAATTGTGTTATTTGGAGAAAACCATTAGTCCTAAGAAGATCCACACCGTTGCATTGATCGCAAGAAGATTGGAGGTTTGAAGTGCAAAAACTGCATTGTTTAACTGACTTCACTTCACTGCAGCCCCATCTTCAATGGAAGGCCGGTTCGGGTATGACATTGGGCATGAACTACCACTATGGGAGTTGCATTTGTAGATTCGGTATCTGATATAATAAAAAATTAATTTGAATTTGAATTTTGGTTCAATTCAATGCAATATCGATCCCAAAATTTAATATTTCAACCAGGAAACCGGTTCCTAAGTTGGGTAAGAAAATTTATAAAAAACTGGCCAGCCACTAGATCCGATTCAACATTGTCTAACGTAAGTCACAAATTTGTAAGTGACATTAGGGAGGCCTCTAGGCCAAAAATCGATTACCAATTCAACTCCTACTCTTTTGGGGTATTAACATTAAGTTTGTATCATTAATAGCTTTGATTTGTCTATGATGTAAGAAAAAATAGATTGGATAAAACTAACCAAATGTAAAGCAATATCCTTCCAACATTGTTGATAAAATAAAGTTGAAAGTCTATCTAGGACAGGGGCCTTAGTGGGACCTATAGCAAATAAAGCATTATTGATCTCCTCCACAAAAGAAACAATACATTTTAATTCATTATCAGCTAGAGTGATATCACAATGAGCAAGATCTACACTAATATCATGGAAAACAGTTGTTTTAGATGTAAAAAGACTGGTATAATAATATGCGATAGTTATTTCAATAACATAAGGGTCTAAGGTCCTATGGCCTTGACTACCTTTGATCCAAAGAATACTATTCTTCCTCCCCCCATGTTAAACATATGAAAGAAAGAACTAGGTTTTTCGGTCACCTACTTGTAACCAATTACATTTAACACCTCATTGCCAATAATAATTTTAAAGTTTGAGTATTTGATCAAGTTCTCTTCGCAATGACCTATCTTCTTCCAAATTAGCGGAGGTTAAGTCTGGATATTGAAGATATCCAATCCTAGATAACAAAGATTTACTCTTTTGTTGTAGATGACCATGAGTTTGAAACGTCCAACTTCGTAAAGAAAGTTTACAACAATTACATTTTTGAAGAAAAAACCAAAACGAGAAGAATTATAGTTTTGTACCACTTGATCATGAAAACATTGCAACAACATGTCCAATAGGATTTAAAGCTAAGTGGAATATCCTTCTGTCGCCTGTATTGTAAAGTAGAAAGAATAAGAGGACAATGATCATATTTCACTATTAGGAGATGATGGGTTTGGATATCCCCTTTTCGGATTGGATCCAATTCAAACCACTCCTATCCAAACGTATACAATCTGATATATATATATATATACATACATGTGTCTGTGTGTTTATTTATTTATAAATATGTTTATATTGCATTTTTATGATTTGTGTAGTATTTGATCATATTCAAATATACACTATCTGATTTGTTTGCATCATTGTTGTTGATGGTTATCAACAATCTAATCTAATCTATCCAAGTATACTCTTAAAGCAAAATGTGTACTATGGGACTTCTATAAGATTAACACGTGTCATTTTTTATCTATGACACTTGCCCCCTCTACTTTTTATTTGATACATCATTCTCCCCCCTCTCTCTTCAATTTTCCCTTTCTTTTTTTTATGTTTATTCTTGTTGCTCATTCCTCACGGGGAGATGCTTACTGACATCGAAATCGATGCACTTATCCCAGGTTTTGACAATTCCAATGTAGGTTTTCCATATTGGGGAGATACTGAGAACCTATCTGTCTCCAATATCTTTCCATATTTAAATTACCAAACCCTTCAAAGTTACATAAGAATCTATGTTTTATCTGCCCTACAGGAGCAATTTTGTGTCTAGCTTTACTCAATGCACAACAATACTTCTAAGTAACCTCATAGTCCTCAATTGCTAACAACATGGACTCTCAAAAAGCATATTTTTAGGCTGCGTTAGGAACAGTGTAGAATCGAATTGGGGTAAACTTTGCACCCTGTTTCGATTTTGCAGGCATTTGGTCATGTAATTTTACACTGAAAATCGGTGTAAAATTACATTTTACCGTTTAATTACATCGATAACCAATGTAAAAAAATTACATTTTTTATGTATTCATTACGTCGTTTGCTCTCTCTTTCTCTCTCGTTTGCTTGTTTTCTTTCCATTCTCCTACTCTCTTTGTTCGACGAGAATAGAGAAGCGGCGATCTCTAGCAGCTTCTCCATTGCCTGCTTATGGGTCTAATACGCCGGTTGCCACACCTGGCAAGGACTGCAACCCAGTCACCAAGCGAGAACAAGAACAAGCAGGCCATTGCAACTCGATTTGATACGCTGATTGGATATGCCGATAAGTAGCAATTATCAGCAGGTAAGGAGATGCCGACAAGGGTTGTGCTGCCGCCATTAAGCAAGCCAGTGCCTGTGTAATCGTTACTAAAATGGACTCCGTTTGCGCTCTTCAGCCATTGATGGCCCTTGAGGACGTCGTGGCCGAGGCCAAACCAGAGCTCTGGTTTCTATGCACATGACTGGAGGAGCAAGGAGCTCAGTAAAAGTAGCCTCATTATTAGCTTATAGCTCGAAGACCATAATCAACATCCCCGAAAACTATAATGAAGCACAGAAAAAAAAAAGTAGAGAGACAAAGAAGTGAAAAGGAAAAAGAAAGGGAAGTAGAAAAAGGAAAACCCCTTTTCAGTTTTCACCATCGACATGAGATACGGGCAGCTAGTCTGCCTGCATCGTGAGGCACTAACTATCATTGAGCCATTAGAGATTTATAAATTTCAACCAGCACTTTCTCGTCATACTCCTTCAAGGGAGGCCTCCCGATCCCAAAGCCTACCCCAACCGCACCACCACCACCGAACCTAGCGCAAAAAATGCCTCCTTCCAATGGAACCTGCCTCGACAACCTCCACCCGGGTTTTTCGCCGACGTCCAACCCCGTCCAAACAATCGTACTTCCTTCTCTTCAGTACCCTCTCAAGCCCTTGTATAAACTCGGAGATACATGCCTTCTTTTTTTTGTTTTATATTTATATACATTTATTATACATATATACTTTAAAAATAATTGGTTTTTAAAACTTTTTTTGTCATTTTAAAGACAATAATATGGTTGCATATTAAATGCAAAGATGACCCAAAACCCAACATAATAATCAAATGCAAATGTGGATCTAGATTTCATAATTGAATGCGGACGCGGATGCAATTGGTTATGGTTTGAATCCAAACCATTTACAATCCTACTATCTACATTGTGTGGAGTTGGTGTAGATACGAGATAGACCTATCTTAGAAGAAAATAGTTGATTGAGCCTGAAAATTTGTTGGTTTAGCAAGGTTAATATGCTAAGTATAAATGATCATTCATAAATAAGAGCCTTAAGACATTTATAATTAGGTCATTATTAGTTTTAATATTTTAATTAAAATTTATCATTTTAAAATGGAGTGCAAGTGGTTTATTTTATTATTTTTAATCCATTTTTATTTATTATTATTATTTTATGAACTACTAATTGTTATTAATTTATTTTTTAATGGTTTTTAGATAAAATTTTGCTAAAATTTACCCATTGGGTACTTATCTTCCCCGACCTGATGGGGCTGAGATGGATATTGCCTTGGCAATGATTGATGGCGATTGATAATGATACCCAACCGAGGATGGGGACAAAGATGGGAATGGAGATTTGTTTCACAGTATTAACTATGAGCTTGGACTTAGATTAATTTAATTATGACTAAAAAAGTTAATCTATAGATTACTTTAATTATAACGTTTAATGATTAATAAAGTAAAATAAATACAACAAAACACTATAGGAAAAATATTACTAAAATTGTTAAATTATTTTTACAACAAATTACTAAAATAAATAATACTAAAATTATTAATATAATTATCATTTTCCATTGTTTCACTTTTTCTTGATAAATTAATATATTTGTATGTTATTATTATTTTAGTAATATTTTATTATAGCACTATTAGTTTATTATTAATTTAATAATATTTTATTACTTTTTCAATATTGTGGTTTTATATTGTGAGTTCTTTAATCATTAAGGGGCCTAAAATACCTAAGCCTCCTTACATCACCCCCTTATCTCTTTAATAATATAAATGCTCTTTCTCTTAGATGTATTTTTTAAATGTAATACATTGGAAAACATAAATTTCCCTTTAATAATGTGCAATTTGATTAATCTAATCAAAATATGCAATGCTTATTTTTTTATACCTTTAAAATAAAAGAAAATAAAAATATAAAAAATAAAAAAGATAAATAAATAACTTTCTAAAAGCTGATATAAACAAGTCAAATTTTATTCTAAATATATAAAATATAATATATATATATATATATATATAAATATGGATGTCGGATATTGTAGACAATTTCAAAGTTATTTAAGTATTTTAAGGGTTTTCCCTTAAAAAATATAAAGCTTGAAGCGAGCTCACATGTAAACGGCGTACAAGGGATGACGGAGTCATTTCAAAACCCACGAAGGAAGTTTTAGGAATTAGGCCTAACGCAAGGGAGGTTTAAGTAAGTATTGGATAGTTCGATTCGATCTACACGTTCAAATATTTCACCTGTGCAATCCTCACCGCCACCCGAACGTAGGAAGAATACTGGTGCTGCATCACAACAAATCCAGGGGAGGTTCTACCATAAAACATCCATGACAAGTCATAACGCGGCTATCTGAAAGCCACTGGGTTGGAATCAAGTGCGATAGTTGGTCTCAGACCATTCGGTTTTTTTGGCATGGCCGTACTGGAAAGATTTACAACTTGTTACAGATCTTAGATCTTCAACGTTACAGTGTTGTTGTCGATGTTCCCACCATTTCCAGCCCCACTCAGTAATTTCGTTAGACCCTCGACCAGAGCAAAGGAACTTTGTGAAAACCAGATCGCGGAAGTGGGAGCTAGGGTTTTGGGCCGTTCATGTGTCTGGTTTTAGCCTCTAGGGTTTCCGTGGAACTCAAATTGCTCTTAAGATTAAACGCACCCCGTGAGAGTCAAAGATAAAAAGGAAAGCATGTACAGCGGCTCAAGCGATGGCGAAGGTCACGATGCACCGCAGAGGAAGATACCGCCAGCATCCTCCATGACGTGGGTTCGAAACCTTCGTAGGTACATTGGTTCTGGCGCCGGACTTGGCTCTGAAGCTCTGATGGGTCAGTGTCCTCCCATTTTACGGATTTTCACCATAAACAATTGTTAATCTTACTCATTTTATACATACCTGATAATCTCGTTGGATTAAATGATGGTTAAGTGTCAAGGCTACTAAGGTTGTAAATCAGTCTGAACTGGCATTCGCTACTATACGAATTAATTTGATAGTTTTATTGCTTACTCTCACTAGATAGGGGCATGCATTATACATTTCAGTGAAGTTGGTTGATCAAGATTTAAATGGTTACATGGGTTTGGAGTTTTTGAATTATTTTTTCTTTCAATTTATTCTTTTTGCGCGTGCCATTTGATTGGTTGGTCTATTATGTGCCAGGGTCACATTAAAAGGAACTTGCACACCGTTGTTTATTTTTGAATCCCATGGAAAAATCAATGGCTGTGCATATGGAGTTCTGATCTGTTTGTGGTATTTGGATCACTTAAAATTTCTGGAGTAAAAAAATGTAGGTAATATAACTCTGGCATACCAAATACACTCCTGAAAGTTTAAAACAAAGTATAAACATAGAGATAAGATTGACTACATCTAGGGAGATTTTATACGACGCACATAGAGGATGATTTGTCTGACAAGACAAAAATACTTTGTTCTTCATTAATAATCTTACCAATTACAACGTGTACAGTGTACACACGTGCACGTGCATATACACATAGATCTCCAATGTTTCCCTTTAAGACTTTAATTACTAATTAGAATTAACCCAATTATCACAAGATACCTAATCCCATTAAAATTACCATTCAAATCTATAACTTATATATAGGGACAGGAAAGAGCAATTGTTCCATACGGTGTCCTATCAAAAGTATTTTCAATTTTTCCACCTTTACAAAGTTGTGCTGCTCAAATATGAGTGTTCTGTTGAAAATAATCAAGATAATCTGATGTATTTAAATCAAACCCTTCTAAAATAGCTGGTTGTGCTTTGGTCCTGAACTGCAGGCATTGATTTCCTTATTTGTAGAGAATAGAGATATGCCTTAATAGTTAATAGGCTGTACATATGACTTTTTTTTGGGGGGGGGGATGGGGGTAAGAATAAGGGTGAGATTTATTCCTGAATCAGTGGGAACTACACTGACTGACCACTACTAGCTCAAAAAGGTAGCATCTTTGCCATACATATGAATTTTGATCTTTTGAGAAGGATGGCTTTGGGTGGGAACCATATGATGTTATTGAATCTTCTTGAAACTATGCAAGGCTAAAAGCTTGAATGAGTTTGACTGGTAATGTCAGGCTAAATGATGGTATGCCACCTGATTCTATTTCATTGAGAGGCTGACTAACTCCAATGAAGAGTAACCTTTCTTGTTTGCCCATTTATTGTATTTCTCTCTTGAAAATACAGCCATCCTTCAGAAGTGACATCACTTTGTTTTGTTGTATTTCTTGTTTACATGCATTGAGAAGTTGAAATATTGTGAGACATGGCAGCCTCTCATGTCGATATTTGGAGAGAAAGTCTGTACTGAAAGAAGAATATTGAACTAGATTCGGTTCAAAACAAAAGAAAAGTTTTGTAAATTGTCTATAATGTTGGGCTGGTTCTTAGCAAATCCTTAGTTTGAGGATGTGGAACATTCATCTCCTGGTTCGTTCCTTGGGGTGAAATCTCTTCACTTCCTTTCTAATATTCATTTTATGAAGTTTAATTGGTCTTTATGTAAAACTGTAGTTGCAAGTCTTCTTTTATGTTCTTTATTTAGGGGGAAATCTCTTCATCTTCCTTGTGATCTTCATTTATGTTATTATAAAAAAAGAGAAATAACAAGAAAAAATGAAACTTCTGCACACATATCATAGATGATTAAAAGGGCAGCCCAGTGAACAAGGCTCCCACTAATGCGGGGGTCTGGGGAGGGACATCGTACGCAGCCATACCCCTGCACATACCGAGAGGCTGTTTCCAAGATTTGAACCCTGGTCACCCAGGTTGCAGTGGAGCAACCCAACTGTAGTGCCAACGCTCACCCTCACATATCATGGATGATTGATGGATGAAATTCCTTTACTAACTTGGAATGCCTAATCAGGTCTTTTGATTGTATGTTGGTCATGAGTTAAAAAAGAAATTCTCAGCCAATGAATAGAGGGAGTACATGGCTTCTTGATCGAAGTTTTGTTATAATTGGCTGGGGGACTTTAAAATCCTGGTGAAGTGGCTGGAAAACAATATCTAGGCAATATGACAGTTTGGATATGTTATAAGGGAAATCAGACATTTGGCTAGGGGATTACAATCAACTTCTCATTGGGTTAGGAGATCAGCAAACAGTTTCAATAATGCATTGGCCAAACAAAGGGAGAATAGGGATAAAATCTTTTTGGGCTCAATTGTAACACAATAAATAAGAGTGGATTAGGTGGATGATTTTCAGTCTATGCATGGGGATGTTTGGTATATTGTACACAACTCATTCTTTTTATGGTCTAAAAATCTTAACAGTTACTGATTGAAGAAAAAACTTGTTAGAATTGAGATCCCATATGACACTTGTTTGTCTAAAGCTGTGGATAAGAATATCACTCTTTCTTGGCATGCTTAGATTCAAGGAAGCATCTTTTCCTAAAATAAATAAAATATCCTTGAATTGTATTCAAGTTTTATTCTTTTTACTGTCATCATTTTGCCTTCTGAATTCTGATGAAGTGAATGCACAATTTTAATATGCGAAATCTGTCCTGTTTTAATTTAAATTACGAGGGTATTCAACTAAAAAAAGCTTTTGAGTGCAGTTTATTCCAATAAAATCAATACTACAGGGTGCTCATCTTTAAAATCAGTTTTAATTTTATATTTTCCTTACTTAAACCTCTATATGTCAGTTCTGCTGATTAGATCATTAATACTAATGTTACTATCATCTCCTTTGCATTTATTTCAACCATATTACCACTTATGCATGTTAATACTGCTTAATCCTCCTATCTAAGACTACCTTTGCCACCTGTCATTCTCACTTGCAGAGCTTGAAACAAAGAGGATCTTGCTTGAAATTTTCAAGGAGAAACAGCAGAAGAATGCTGAAGCTGGAGCTATCCCGAGCTTCTACAGAAAGGCATGCACCACAGTTGTTTGTTTGGGTGGTTGGCTCATTTTTCTTCCTTACATGAGTTTACAGGATATTGTATATTACAAAGGGATGATGAATGAACAAATGGAAAAAGTCATTAATTTAGGCCTTGCATTCCTCCTTAATCTGATTTTCATTATTAGACATCCTTCTTTTAGAGCATCCATACTTCTGATGCCTAATTTGTATCTATGCAAAAGTACTAAGTGTATTTTCCTTGAACATATAATTAGGATTTCACTATCATAAATTTGTTTATTGTTTATATGCCTTGATTTTTTAATTGTTTTCTGATTCTTCTTATTCATTTATTTCTTATTTTTCTATGATACAGAAACCTGAAGAGGGATCTATTAGTCATAGGGTGCAAAGACTGGCAAAGTACCGTTTTCTCAAGGTACCCTTACAAGATTGATTTTATTTTCCTGTTTGCACTGCTTGATATTCTAATTGATGTTTGCTATGAATATCACACTTTGCCCTTTTGAGATATCCTTTCAGTGAACAGGAATCTGCTTGTACTTAAAATCATTTGGAAATTGGTTCATCTTTTGACCCATAAAATGGGTTTTGGTCTTAACTGAATATGGAGTTCTCCTAAATTTACTTTTTTGTGCATTTGCTTGTTTTCCTATAAAAGGCATTTTCTTCTTTCGCTTGTTTGAATTAAAATTGTTAGACAATGTGATTTAAGTTCCTTACTTGTGCAGAAACAATCAGATCTTTTGCTCAATGCTGATGATCTAGATGCTATGTGGGTTTGCTTAAGAGAAAATTGTGTGATCGATGATGTCACTGGTGCTGAGAAGGTTTGTATGTTCCTTCTTTATAATTACTTAAACTTGGGGGCTATAGGTATACTGAGTTATCTTGTGAAGTTATAATTCAAATATTTGCACTATTGTTTCTTATTATATTATAGCATGTATTTTACTTGAAAGCATCCTTTGTATTTATTTTATGAACATAGTATTGCAAAATGCATAATTATGCCTTCTGATTATATTCTGAATTTAGTTTCAGTACTACTTGATTAGAATGGTGGAATGTAGGACTTGAATTGTTGCCAGAAAAGGGGCTATTGCTTGGTCCAATGGTAAAATATCAGGCTTACAAGCTTGAGAATCAAATTCTGAGAGACTGAGACTGCCCACTTTGCACAAGAAAATGCCAAAGGTTAGGTCCTTATCCAGTTTACCCTTCCCAAGACCTTGGGTAGCTGGGTCCAGCATTGGGCAATGGCCTTATAATTATTGCCAGATGAATTTCATAGATACAGTTGTCCTAGTTGGATCTTTGGCTGGTTTAGGGGTGCATAAAAGCTCACTCCACTTATCTTTTTGGGGTTCTTGTATTTACTAGACTTGTATGTACTTCGTTCTATCTTTTTGATAGTTAATACAATTTGAACTTTGTCTAAAAAATAATGGCTTAAATAAAAGATATTTCAAAATTCTGTTTTTGTGGTAATTTAATGATCAAACCACATTCTTAATATAGTTTAATTTGCATTTTCTATTTATCTTTGTCTTTTCAATTGAATTTTCTTCTGCTTTTTTACATCTGTTTTCCACCTTTACATACTTTGACTAATATGTTTTGAAGTCTTTTTTTGGGTCTTTCATCTATTCTTCCTGCTTCCGTTTTGAGATAAAAATGAGGAACTTGTTATTTATTTATTTATATATTTTTTATTTTCTGGAATCATCTATTACATGCAAGCATTTCGATTTGGAAAGAAAGCTCATGCATTTCTTGGAATTCTCTTCTTGCAGATGAATTATGAAGATTTTTGCCATATTGCCTCTGTATGTACAGAGCAAATAGGACCAAAATGTCGTCGTTTTTTCAGCCCTTCAAATTTTATGAAGTTTGAGAAAGATGAGTCTGGAAGAATTGCTATCCTGCCATTTTACCTTTATGTGATGCGAACAGTGAGTTTTGCTATTTTTTTTTTTTGGATCAGTAACCAATCAAGCAAATTTGTTGTTGCAAAGTAAAGAAATGAGATACAAGAAGTGCAAATTTAAATAGGCTGAAGCATGGTTTGCAATTTTGGTATTGATGGATGTTTCACCATGCAAAAATGGAAAATCTTGGGGATAAAATATTTGAAAAATCTAAAGAAATTAGCGAATGCTACTTAAAATGTTAAATTTGTTAGTGAAACTTCATGAATTGTTAGAGTATAATTTCATATTTAAGACTCAAAAAGCCATGGCAAATAGCGCGTAGCCACATATATCAAATAAGAGAAGATTAAAAGACTTAAATAGGAATCTCTCTTTGTTTCCCTTTGAATCTTTTAGTCATATTCTCTTCTGTAAAGATGCCATTGATGCGCCATTTTGACTGTCTTTTTTATTAATATATGTTTTGATTAGATTGAGAATTCTCCTTCATAGTTGTGTGCCCTTTTTCTTCTTTTTTGAATTATAGTGACTTATGGAATTGCATTTTGAATAGTAAGCTGGTCATCCAATCATAGAATCCCCATTTGTTCTTTAAGAAAAGATTTCAAAAAAGTTTTCAATAATTTTAACGAAATATCAGAAAATTTTGATGATATTCTAAAACATTAAATCTTAGATGTTTGATTTTTCTGATGAATAAATTGAGTTTTATTAAAATATTTTATGTAAAATCTTTACAATCATCCCTTAGAGAGGCATGAGCTGCTACCTCTCATACAAAAGAAAAACCAGTGTTTTAAAAGCGCAAGGCGAGGAATTCATAAAAAAAAGCGCAAGGCGAGGCGCACACCTTTTTGAAGCAAGGCGCAAAAATACAGAAAAAGCTAAAAAATAAAAAATGTCAGAAAATTCAAAAAAATGCAAAGAATAAAAATCTTAAATATAATATTAATAAAAAAATATAAACTTAAATTTTAAACTTAATGTTTTAAAAACCTATTATCTAAAATTAAAATACATAAACATAACATGTAAAAGCGTATTCAAATGAAAATTTAAAAATAAAATCAAACATATAAAACATTTTCAAGCATGTAAAACCCACAACCTCTTTTTTTTCCTCAATTGCATTACTTCAAGTAGCTAATGTGATGTAAAACATATTACATTCTTGATTCTACGAGCTGCCTTTGTACCACTCCCCTCGAGGCAAGCCTAAACAAGTCCATGTTAGGGTCTTAAATTCTTAGTTCTCACACAAAAAATAGTGATTTTATAGTTTTATTTGCCTTTTAAGAAGACATTTTATTAAGACGAATGAATGAACAACATTACAAAATAGGGGGTTCTACTGCGCTTCGGCCGCTAGGTTCAAAAAAGGCAAAAAAGCATAAAATTTTCAAACAGCACACACCTGGGCTAAGGCACAAGGCACATCAAGCGCACGCCTAGGTGCACCAGGCGCGCGCCTTTTGAAAGTGCTACACCTAGGACCTAGGCAAGGCGCCTATCCTAAAATGCGCCTTACAATTGTGCCCTGAATAAAATTGACCTGTTTAGCCAAAGCATCCGCCATCCCCTTTGCCAATCTTCTCACCCATTGTATCCTTAAATTCATTTTCCTGGTTAGCCAAGTAAATTTTTTCCTTTCACTATTGTAGCACTAAATTATAGTCTCAGGATTGCTTAGCCATTCTACCACAACTTTCGAGTCCCCTTCTATCACCGCATTTGTCAAGTTTAGCTCACTAACTATTTGCACCCCTTGAATTGCAGCAAGCAGTTCAGCTTTGAGAGAGTTCCTCATACCCACAGGGCCAAAAAGAAGTGCTTAAGTTTACTTTCTCCATCTCTCACCATCCCTCCAATTCTTGAAGGGCTTGGATTACCTCGACTATTACCATCAAAATTCAGTTTAACAAAACCTTCAATTGGTGGTAACCAGACCACATTCACTTTGTCCTTTCTCTTGGAGCTTTTAACAACTACCAAATTCCTCCAAATATCATCAAAGGTGAACTGGGAGAACAACTCCGGAGTCTTGATCTAGTGAATCACCCTAACCATCACACAAATCCTGATTTCTTCCTTGCTTCTTTCCTTCTCTGAGAGGATTCTTGCATGCCTCTCTTCCCAAATGGTCCAAATCAAGGCTGCTCTGACACATCTCCACATCATCCTCCATCTCTTCTTCGGTCAAGTAAAACAGGAGGGATCAAATAAAATAGTAACCTCCGTAGGTAACATCCACCTGCATCCAGACAAAGAAGAAAACCAAAGCCAAAATCTGCAACAGAGGGACAAGAAATCAGTAAGTGGCAACAATAATTATCTTTGACATATTTGCAGTGTATTGTATATATGAGGGAAAAAGATTTTTTCTTTTGCTAAGGAAATTTTATTCAGAGGCTTAAATCACACTATTACAAAAGGCCAAAAGAGAAGTGTGAGGCGCACCCTCCCAAGCAACAATGTCAAATTACAATTGAGCCAAGAACAAGTGATCTCTAGTAACCCCTTGTTTAGCTAAAGTATCTGTCATTCTATTTGCTGATCTTGGTTCCTTTGAATTTTTATGGTCATATTACTGGTAAGCCATTTAAATCTTTCCATCTCCTCACTGTAACTCTATCGTACTGTCTGGATCCTTTAACCATCCTATCACCATCTTAGAATCCCCTTCAATAATCAACCTTGTTTTTTGACAAGTCCCGTTCAATAATCTTTTTTTGAAATATCAATGGAAAAATTTCATTAAATTGAAAAAGAGGTACAGTACAAGAACTTTTGGTTGTCAAGCTGACAAACCGAGCAAAGGTACATCACTCAAACTGAAAATAAATCTTCATTACAGGGCTGTAACTCATGAGTACTCCAAAAGTTTTCTAACAAATCAGCTTTGTTCACTGTGTCGAACTCTGGGAGCTGTAGCTCCCAAACTGAAATCAGATTGCTCACTGCGGCTACCAAGTGATCAATGTACTTTGCCTTATCTCCAAAGATCCTTCTGTTCCGCTCATTCCATATAGCCCAGCAAACTGCAAATGGAATGCTGCTCCACATGATACTAGCTTTCTTGCTTCCTCCGAATTTTGGCCATTTGGAGAAGATTTCTGCTGGGGAAAGAGACTGAAAGATATTGACCCCAATTAGATAAGAGAAAAACTTTCAAACGAAATTTGCTGCACTACAATAAAAGAACAGGTGCAGAATCGTTTCCTCCTCCAAGTTGCACAAGTAACAGAAGCTTGCCATGTGAAACCCTCTGTTCTTTGAGTGATCTGTAGTAAGAATGCTGTCATGTGCTACCAACCAAGCAAATGCCTCAACCCAAGGGGGTACTGGATTACACCATACACTTTTATCTGTCCTGTCTTCACACTTTCTCTTGTTATTGCCTTGTAGAAAGACTTCACCGAGAATCTTCCTTCTTTGCACTCGTTCCACCAAAGACCAACTCCTGTGCTCCCCTAGAGATACTTGTGCCTTCTAATTTCTCCAGCAGTGGAATACATTCTTCAACTTCTTCATCAAGTAAAGGCCTTCTAAACTTTGGAGACCGAATCAGCTGCTCCCCTCTCCATTCATCGCACTGATCGATTGTGATTTGCTGCTCAGACAGCCTGTATAACCTTGGACAGACCTCACAGAGTTTCCCTATCCCGAGCCATTCATATTCCCAAAACCTCACCCTTGATCCATCCCCCACTTTGAAACTGAACCGACCCCTGAACTCCTGATTAAATCTCATGATCCCTTCCAGACGCTTACCCCATAAGAGCTCTTTACTTCTCTTGGTTCCCACCCAAACCTTGCTACTCCATATTTACCAACTATCACCTTCCTCCATAAGGCTTCCCTCTCCCTTTCTTGTCCAAATCTCCACAACCATTTCCCTAATAGTGCCTTGTTAAAAGGTTTAATCC